CCCACTTTGTATGGAGGGAATGACCCGTGCACAGACCACCCCATACAAAAACATCCCCCTCCCAGACACGTTTGGACCCCGGAACATAGATGTGCCACTTTCGACCCTGGCGGTGTCCGGAAGATATATGTGGGAAGGGTGGTCCGCCACCCGCAGGGCGCGCCAGGCCATCCACGGCAGGGGGGCGGCGCCGCGGACCTCGAGCGGCAGGGCTGGCTGGGTGGCCGGTGGACACTGCAACGCAGAGCCGCGGCGTGGTTGCTGCTGCCGGGGCGGGCGCACGATGCGGGTGCGCCGTGGGCCCTCTCCCGGGCGGCGGGACGCCCGGGCCCCGCGATCCCCGTGGCTGGGGGTCCAGGGGCCGGGGGTGGTGGGCGTGAGGTTGCCAGTTGGCGGCGATGGGGCGGGGATGGGCGCGGCCGCGGGCCGAAGAGGGATCAACGCGGATGCCGCCGGATGGCCCTCTGCCGTGAGGCGGCGCGCGGTAAGAGGGACTTTGCGGACCTTAACCCCAGCAGGCCAGTTGGTGGCGGCGGGCGGCCCGGTCTTGGTGAGCGGCCGCAGCCACCGGAGGCCCCGTCGCAGCGGCGTGGGGGGTAGGTAAGAATTCGCCAGTTGGCGGGGGTCGGGCAGGCCGGGACTGTCCTTGCGGGTCGTTGGTGGGTGTCCGGGGATGCGCGCAGCCCCCAGTAGGAGTAAGGATTTGAGTCGGCTGGCTAGATGCTGGATAGGATTTGCAATATGAGTTGTCCGTTCAGAGATATATATCAGGATGGGGACGGGCAACCCATGGCGAGGGGTGGGAATATATGTACATGGTTGACCGAGGTCGGCGGGGTCAACGTACCGATGGATATATATCTCTCCCCACGATCGACATCTGGGTCGGTACGGCGGGGGCTCAATACCTTTCCCACACATCTCTAGAAGCCCCGAGGATGCCCAGGACCCATTAATCTGCCACCAGCCGTGAGGTTTGGGGGACCGGCCGGTCGGTCGAAGAAGCTCGCCAGTTGGCGGTCGGCCGGCCGGTCCCAAAACCAACGCGGCCGCGCGGACTATTGAGGGTGGAACGGGCCTCCAGGAACATTCTACAGACCGTCTGAACCCCCACAGGTGACCGGCCGGCACGTTTGGGGGACCGGCCTCCCTGGTCGAAGAAGCTCGCCAGTTGGCGGCGGGTGGGCCGCTGACTGACCGCGGCCGACCGACCGGCCGGTCCCCAAATCAGCCCGGCCGCGGACCTCCAGGAACACGGGACATGCCCTTTCAGCAGCGGGAAGCGGACTGGCCGGCCGCCCCAGACAACCGGCTCGCGGCCGATGCGACGAGCGGGCAGCAGAGCGTGGTCGGGAGAGCGAGCGTTGCTGGCCGGTCGAAACGCGGTCGAATTTCACTAAGTATCGAAAGTGCGGGAGTTTGGGACTGGTCCGGAGGCCCACTTTGTATGGGAAAAACGACACGTGCACGGACCACCCCATACAAAAACCGACCCCCCAGAATCACTTTGGGACCCGGGAACATAAATGGGCTACTTTTGACCCCGACGGTGTCCGGTGGATATATGTGAAGGGTGATGGTCATGGACCGGTCGAACGGTGAGGGCAGGGGTCCCCCTGGGGATCGAGAGCCATCGTGACGCCGGGCCTGACGGTCGCCCTCCCACACTTCTTCCCTGCCAGATGGGCAGTCTCTCTGTGCCTGGTGGTGATTCGGTCCCGCATCGCGGGCGACACCTCAGGAACGGGGACTGCCAACCACCCCCTGCGGTCGAACTGCCGTGGGGCGCCATGGCCAGGTGTCCGCCTCGCCGCCGCTGCAGGCCGGTTTCCTCCGCCTGGGAGTGCCACGTTGCTGCCCCTTCGGGGAGCGGTTGACAGTACCCAGGTTGCAGGATTCCCGGTGCTGGGCGTGCGGTTGGAGTCGGAAAGAAGCCTGTGCCGTCGCACCCCGGGGTCCGTGTTTCGCGGTTTGGGGGGGTGACTGAAGCCCAGGGGCCCTTGCGTGGTCCCCGGCGCTGACGGAGTCTGTGGATCGTTGGCCGCTGGCCATCATCGAAACCCAGATTCCCGGGGGAGCCGCCCTGCAGGAGCCGCCGTTCGCCGGCGTGTCCGCGGGGTCCGGACCCCCACCAGAGGACCATATGCCGCAGCCTGTCGGCGCCCGTGAGGGCGTCCCGGCAGGGTTCACCTGCGTGCGGACCGGTCCTGGAGGGCCCAGTGGGGGGCAATTGGATGGTCGTCGCGGGTTCCCGGTGCGCTGGGGGCCTTCGCGGTCGATCAGGCGCTTCGTGCGTCCCTTCCAGATTACATAGCTCACCTTCCGGTCCCCTTCAGGGAGGCCTCGTGCCCAGGCGACGGTGGATAGCAATATCCCCGCCCCTGGGCCGCAAAGGTAGTTATCTGGTTGATTCTGCCAGTAGTCATATGCTTGTCTCAAAGATTAAGCCATGCATGTCTAAGTGTAAGCAATTTATACTGTGAAACTGCGAATGGCTCAT